CGATCCACCTGATCGCCCAAATCCACCTGCCCCTCCCTTTTGGGGGGGCCGGTGCATTTTGAGGCACTGGATCACCTGCTGTTGGACACCTTTCTATCCTTTCTACTTAGGGTTGTTGTGAAAGCACACGTATGTTTTTCTTCGGAAGATCTGCATGGCTAAGCTGCCACCGTATACTGGTGCAACTCTTCCAGAAGCATTGCTGGGATCCCGGGCGGCTTGGTCACAATTATCACAGCAAGTCTCTCGACATACACATGCAGCCTATTTTGTAGCACATGCACACCTCATGATTCTGGGCTTCCCGGATCACCATGCCCACCAGGGTCTCACCTGTCCCGCATGCAACTGCCCCTTGGCATCAATCTGCCGGAGCGAAAGGGTCATCAAACAGTGGGAGCGGCTGCTGCGGGTGTTCAGCGCATGCGCCGAGGCCGAGCGCGTATTCTCCACCTGTCTCGCCACTTGTACCACGTCCAGTGGCGTGGCCAGGATCACCTGAGTGCCGGCCAGGATCACCAGAGAGCCTCCTGACTGGGCCAACCGTAGGGGATGAAGGCGATCAAATGGGAGGTCAAAACAAAACGGACATCAATATCAATGACATTAACCTTTAATGAGCAGTTACATGCTCTCATAGGACTGACTGAATACTTTGACACGCAAAGCTGCCTTCAACTCTCATCTCCAGCGCTGGCGTCCCTGAGAAGACCCGTCGCTCTCGCTCTCTCTGTCTCTCTCTCTCTCTCTCTCTCTCTTGAGGGGTGTCCTTGATTAATGCGGGTTTCAAAGACCCATCGAAAGCGATCTAAAGAGGAATGATGAGGACCTGATCTTTGACATGAAAAAAACACTTGCTGTATATAAACCTTTTGGGGTGGAAGATACCATGACGAGTGAATACATGGTGACATGTGAAGACCGAAACCTGCGCGAAACTGCACCAAGGGAGAACCGATGCCCGAGTGATCAGCCAGTGGGGGGAACCGGGGATGGCAACGGCTGTTTATCCTTGACTCCTTCAACTGCGTTTGGACTCTGATTTGGACTCCAACCACCAACCCTGCCGAGGCCTCAACCCGTTTCGACTGGACCAAGGCACCTCTTTGGCTGTGCCAGTGGATGAGCCTGGTAAAACCTTCGTCCCCAGCCACTTTTGAGGCGGCTGCCACTTGCCATTGGAGTCATAGGTGATCGTCTCGTTGTCCGGGCGACTACTGGATGCTCGCACAGAAGCACCGGGCACCGGAACGCTCTGACGATTGTTCAGCAGATCAAACATCTTCTCCTGAAAGACTTGGCGGACCCACAAGAAGCCACCCCTAGAAAACATGGTCAAACACTAGTCGTTCTGTCCTGGTTGCAAAATAACATTTGATTGAAATCGTGGATCAAGCGGCGCTTGGAAGTCTGTGAACGAAAACAATAAGGTTTTTTGAGTTTATTGGTCCCTGACATGTACCTTTTCAAACATACCCTCTAATCACAAACCTTGCAGGTAAGGCATGCCAATCTTCTACAATCATCAAATGGTGAACATATGTGAACATTGGTTGCTGGAAGTGGATCTCCTTTTCAGAAAAGACATCCTCTCCACTTTTTCACAATAAACAAACTATGACAAACTCCATCACCCCAGCTGTTTAGCCACTGACCAAAACAAGTCTCCAAATAGATCTCAACCGCTGTGACTTTCAGCTGAGCACGCTTCGACAGACCGCGATGATGCAGACTTTGCAGCATCGTGATCGCAGCATAAGGGAAGAACCCCCATGAGAGCGGACGACCGCCACTGGCCTTGGAGTGGCGAACCCCTTCGAAGAAACCAAAAAGTAAAGGAATTGATAGGAGTGGTGTGACAGGGACCAGTGTGAATCTTGAGAGTTTTCAGGTCCCCCATAAAACATCGATGAGTGTGGCCAGCTGCTGAACATTGGCCTAGTTTCCCTTCTTTGAGTTGAGAAAACAAAAACAACATAAAAACAACAAAAACAACATATCAAACCAACACATCACCCAACACCTCTCTTTGGTCCTAGTTTCGTTGTACTCGTGCTCTGTCAAAACACCCGGAGGACCAAAGATCGTATGAGTCTTTCCACTTCCAGTTTGCCCATAGGCCAGCACGATGGCACTAAAACCTGGTTCCAGCAAGAATCTCTGCAGTTGTGGCTCCAGAACTCCTTCAATCACAGCCTCTTGGACCACATCAGGACCGAAGACCACATCGGCTTGTGCCTTCTCTTCGATCTGTGGGATGGTGACGTCACTGTTTTCACTACCCACCGTGCACGGCCTCAATCGTGCGCAGACTTGCATCAGCTGAGCTTGAGCCGAGCCGGCCAAAGCAGCTGAGCTTGAGCCAAAGGGCAGCGGATTCAACAGCAAATGGAGCACGTACACACGGACGATGTAGCGGATCCACTGAATTTGGTAAACACTGAATTTCCATCATCCGAGGTTTGGACGGCTACCAAATACTATGCAGGGGTCCTCTGAGTGGCAGAGTGGTTTTATAGATCTAGATTTAAAGTGGTGGAATTGACTACTCCGTGGTACGAAAAATATGAGTATTGATCATCATGCACTGCCTATAAATTAAGGTGCACTGACCCCTTTCTCGAGTGGAGGTGAGATGCAACGGTTGTCATTTGCCCCAAAAAAGGGTCCAGGCCAGTCATTCTCACCAAGCTCCCCATCTAATGACTAGGGCCTCACAGTGAGGGTTGGTGTGGAAGATGCAATGAGTTCAGAGCACAGAGTAGTCTGGACCAGTCATTTTTCTCAACCACGGCCGGGGACCCAACCGTGTGACAAGGAGAAGGAGTGAGGAGTAGGGGACTTTGTTCAGAGATCTGTTGAGACCAGGTTGTCCTGATTCAAAACAAGTCAAATAAGAAAACAGGACATCCATAATGTTGTTTTGTATGTTTTTCATGTTGTTCATTCTTGATGCTATTTGTTATGTGTTTTGAAGCTGAATGAAACTGCAAGTTCATCAGTGATGCAATGGGTCCGTCCTACCTTTATATAACTTGCTTGCAACTAAGGCTGTGATTATTCTTGCAACAACAACAACAACAACCACAACCACAACCACGACAACAACAACAATCACAATCATCTACAACAGCAACCTACCTCATCTAATTCTGCTCCGATTGACCTGGTTTAAGGCATATTTTTGGGGTTAACCACCTCTTTGTTTTGACTATGTGACATGGCATGCTAATCATACAATATTGAGGATTTAGCAGTTGCGGTCACGACTTTTAGGCTTCAGGTATAGCAGCAGCCGTCTTCTTTTTCGGTGAAACAGGCAGCGCTGATCTTTCTATCGAATTATCCTGATATCCCAGAACTGAGCGCAATAGCACCGGCCAGCACCGCCGGAGTCCAGCTCGTCGGGCCAACGATGGAGTGCGATGAACTCGAGTATTGCTTGTCGCAACTCAGTTTAAAGTATTTGCCATCGTAGTATTTTCCTTTAAACCAGATTGTTCGGCATTCGAACATGTAGTCATCACATCGAAAGCATCCACTCCCTGAAAACTCCTCAATCAATTTGTCATTCGAGCAATCAAAGTGGCCAACCTTTGACCCCGTCGCGGAGCACTCGAAGTACGACCGTTCCGATGAGCAACGGCCAGGTCCCAACATCTTCCGGTCGACCTTCGTGGCGTCGTTGCCACCCGTGAGGGGACCATGGCAGGCATAGCGCTCGGTGGTCACGGTCATGATCGTGTAGTTGGACTCGAGATACTCCGAAGGGAGGGCTGCTGAGGCGATGAAACCGCTGCTCAGCAGAAGATTCAGAAGAGCCATGGGCAAAGCGAGATTGGCTACTGACCAACCTTTGCAACAAGAGAACCTCCAATAGTTTTGTTTTGCATTTTGCTGGCAGAATCACCTGTGCATTTAGCCTAATCATCTGTTCAGCGATGTTCAGCTATTGTTCCATGCTACAGTTTGAATATTAACATGTGTTTTGATCGTCGGATAGAATTCTTTTGAATTGGAGCCATTTGTCATACCAACCATGCATGCAGAGTTGCATCATCTGGCTGGAGAAAAAGGTGTCTGATGTCTTTGAGGAATTATCCACGCCTTGTCTACCAATGGTGCCAACTCCTGTTTGATCTTCTCATCCTCTTCATCCTGCATGCGATGTTCTCTCGGGCACCAGTCCAAGAAATAGAACATATTATGGCAGAACACCACTAGTACTGACTAGTCACTAGTCAAACAATCTGTGCTGATTTCAACACTTGATGAGCCCAAACACTTTGTGTATCATTGCCAGACACTCCATGGGCGGACTGGCATATTTTTGTTGGTGGTTTGGGGGGCGAATACATTCGCCTAAAAACATTTGGATGTCATTCGAAACATATGCATTTGCCATAGCATATGGATGTCTTGGAATACATTCCCAAGACTGGCATATTTATTCCAGACGTATGGAGTGTCTTGGGCTTGGGAGGTCCCCAGCTCCGGAGGTCGTCGCGGCGGTCGATTCGTCAAGACAGGTCTCCACACCTTGACATCTGTCATCTCTTCCTTTGGCTCATCCAAGTCTTCCCTGCCGACAGGCAGTGAGTACACGTATTATATATATATATATAGTAACTCTAGTGTACATATATATATAGTATAGTAACCAAGTAATTACATATGTGTATATATATGCTGGGCATCCTGCCTCACAACGAGTCACCAACAGGATCAACAGGTTCTCACCTGTCTTTAAATCAAGCTAACAAATACGGATCACGACGACCTGCTCAGGCGTTTGTGGATTCTGCCCAAGAACTTGTCCCCAAGTCCGCCATAGAGCTTCATTGCGTTGATTGCCGCATGAAACAAATGCTAGGTGACACTTGACCCTGCCGCATCTGCCACGAAAAGTCCTGAACATGTGGCAAGTGTGTGATTTGCAGAACCTAAGAGGCTTACTGCAATAACTCTTGTTTCCTCTAGAGTTAAAAAAGTGTGTTTTGTTCATGCTACTCTGTATGGCTAGGCACATGATGATTGCAGGCCTGCACCAACGCAAATTGGTAACTAATCGACGCTGTAGGCTGAAACCCAATAGCTGGACTTCGAGAAGTGCCAACAAAACAATTAGGATATGACATGATATGACCCTAAACTGGACCCCCCAGAAAGATTGTGTGATGATTGCTTAGATGAGAAAACATGGGTAGGGGAAGGTCCAGGTCCACCAAAAACCTACATAGGAGGATCCAATCCATTCAATCTTGCCTGATGAATCAACCCCCCCAGGCCCTGAGATGTACAACCATCCCTGGAAGACGAATTGGATGAACAACCCACTGTCTCTCCATGCAATCCTCATCCCGTCGCCCGGACCGTTGCTGAAACGAACCCCGGACCGTCGCTGGCTCTGAAAACGCAGGTCGTTGGCCTGGCCGGCTTCATCTCCCGAACCTGCCGTCGGACGTCTCAAGATCCCGCTGCTTCGTTGCAGCACACTCGGTCGGCCAAAGAGGAAATGGCTAAGATTGTATGGTTTTGTTTTCAGCCCCACGTCTGGCAATGGGAAGCCAGACTATCTTGTTAATGGCTGTAATGCTAATTAATACTATAATGGTTTCTGATTGATTTTCAACCACGGTCCATGCTCCAAGAAACGTTGTTTTCTTGGGTGAGATATGCTGAAAAATGAGAAACCCTACCCCCTCCCGAGCTTGCTAGAAATCGACCCGAAATGATCAGATCCACCACGGGACCAGTCTCTGAGACCAATCAGGGACACCAGTCGTGCTGCCCTGCCAAAGGAGGTCCACTTTAGCAGTTTAGCATTCTCTGTAGATGTTCTGTGGAAAAAAAACAAACTTTGCCTCCAAGACGTAAAGACTGACGTCATTGCAAAGAGTGATTAGGCCCAGTCTAGTAACATGGTCTAGCTCCTTGCAGCGAGTGAACATGTATATATATATATAATTGCATACTATTAAATATATATATATATAACTAGTATAAACATTGATACAGCTCAGTGTTTCAGACATAATTTAACCTCATCTAATGGCGCTTCGTTGCACGCAACACCAATCGATTCAACCGTAGACTGGCAATTAACAAAATGGTCTCCAGAATGGTCCACACCATCTCCAAGCCTGGAGGTTTTTACAGTTTGTTTGTGTTTCATTGTTTTTGTCAATCGGTCGTCTACGTTATAAAACCAATCCAACAAAAACTGGCTCGCTCGTAGTTCCCATCTTCTGCGCCTTTTCTCCACCGCGGCTGCTGGCGAGGCCGCCATTCAGGAGGTTCCGGTACCTGGTTCGGCGGAACAAGCAGTGGCACACACACACACACACTTGAGAAGGTTGCTCCGTAGAGCGCGATTTCAGGCTGCTTCGCGGAGTGCATTAGCCCTTTAGGTGAATACTTAGCCCTTGACTTGATTCAACGGAAAGAAGTGCAAAGTCCGCTCACTTGAATGTTTCAACAAGAAGTATTAATTTAGTGTATATTAAAAATTGCAGGTACACAGTCAGACGTCTCTGACTGCTTCCCATGACATCACTAGCTTCGTTGGCCAGCGTCGTGATGCCATGCGCTGGCCCCCTGCTGCTGTACAAAATCATAGGGAAAGAAAGAGCTAGAGTAGTGTCCTTGGAAACAGGAGTGGACACACACAAGAAGCCGAGCACGGCGCAACTAGACCGGATCAGAAAAAACATATATGTCAAATAGTGGAAGAACTCTGCTGGCGGATCGTCTTTTTCTCTTTGGCCGCTGTGCCGCGGCACAGTGTTCCTTTGAATGTCCTTTTGTCATAACGAGACCTGAGCATATAGAAGGCTTGAGAACTAAGTGGATCAGCTTTGTTTCTCCGTGGCCGCAGCGTCGCGGCGTAGTGTTCTTTTTCTTTGTATTTTTCTTTTTCTTTGTCATTTTCTGTTTCTCTCTCCTGTTTCCTGCCAGGGGGGTGAAGGGGTGTTCGGGCGTGCATTGACTAAACGAGCCTGGATGCCACCTAACCAGCCTGAAGAAAGGAACAAGACAAACGAAAAAGGCAAGGAAAGAAGAGAAAGGTGCAGGGGGTGCGGGGGTCGGGCAGGGCGTGCGTTGACTAAACGAGCCTGAAGAATACCTAGAAAGCCTGAAGGAAGGAACAAACGAAAACGCAAAAGCAAAGAAAAACAAGAAAAGGTGCAGGGGGTGAAGGGTGGGGTGAAGTGCTCTTACGAGCGAATGGCACGGGCCCGGAGGCGCTGGCCGAGAAGCCGAAATCGGCGCAGTGAAAAATTAAAAGTTGGAAAGACTTCTCCGGTGTGAAACTGATACAGTCGAACTCTGCAATAATTTCAGTGGGAATGTCAGTGAACTCTGCAGTAGCACTTCACGTGTGTCAGGTGAGACATTCCAATCAAACTGATTTCAAACAGGAAAACTCAGTCGAGTAAACTTCAGAAAATCTTCAGGAACACTTACTCCTGCGGTGAGGAGTGAAAAGGTTCTTGCAGTAACGGCGCCCCGCAGGGGTCACACAGCTTACCACAGTGGGAAGAAGCTGCGGAAACACACTTGAGAAGGTTGCTCCGTAGAGCGCGATTTCAGGCTGCTTC